GCGTTCCATGACTATATCTAGTTTGGCAGTTTCCGTCAAATGTAGGCTGAGTTTGGCAGTTTCTGTACGCGTTGCAGAAAATAGGCTGCTGTTGTTGCGCCGAGTCTATATATTTATGTCTTCGAGTTGCAAACTCGGCATAAAACGGTTTGTGGTCGCTCATTAGGTCTGGCATGTAGTACTGTGGCCTCTGAGCGTTCGCGTAGTTGTTTCTCGGGTTGATTCTGACCCAGTTTTTCATTGGCTCAGCAGTAGGATAATCGCAAAATATTGATCCAGGCCCGTTTATAATTGGCTGGTTTCTTGCGTTTATCAAATGAGGCTCGTAAATTGAGTTAACGGAATTAACATTTGCTGAATCTACGGGCTGGTTATTGCGCTGAAGCTTTTGACCTTCCATGATAAATTGTTCGTAGTTGTCAACGGCAAACGAACTATCTATAGGATTATACCTAGAATAATAGTTGTCTTTAATGTTGTTATTTCTCGGGCTGGTATACATTTGTGCAGCGCTTGCGTGAGCTATCGGATTGAAGTAGTGCGGGTTGTGGACATGTGGTATAGGTCTTTCTACACAGCCTAGGTTAGGTACTTCGTAGAAGCTGGCACTATTGTTTGTCGAAACGCGCTGCATTCTTTTTGAGCGGCCTAAAGTCGGAAGATCGTACGGACTTAGGTTGTTAGCTCGTTGTTCGTTTGCGACATACTGTATGTTAGTGGCTTTTTTTTTATTTTGAGTGACTGGTATTGTTTGTTCTTTTGTTTTTAACTTTGAGATTGAGTCTTGCATGAACTCAAGCGACTCGTTGTCTATTTGCTCTGTGTTGGGGATGTAGACGTTGCAAATGGTTACTATCACGAAATTCGGTGGGACCGGAGTTTTTTCCGACTCATCAGATTTTTTTATTGATTCAGATTTGCTACATGTTATATTGAATGTTTTGTTGCTTGATTCTCTGTAGTTGGCGGAGAAATTTTCTGCCTTTAAAAAAGAGTTTTCCTTAGTGTTGATTGTATTGCTTTCTTCATTGCTTGAAACTGTTTTTGCAGCTGTTGTATTTGAGTTTTTTATCCTTTCAGCCCATGACTTACTGTCAGATTTATCGGTTTTTTCCTTTTGCATTTGGTTGTCTGTTGATTTAACAAATGTCGAATTATTCTTTTTAATAGATTGAGCGATTTTATTCGCATTGGATGCAGCTTGCGCGTAGTTTACACAAGTTGTACTAGCGCCCGACAAGTGGTTTTGCTTTGGTTTAGCGTCGTCGAGATTCTCTTCATTAAATTTAGCAGCAGCACTATTCTCCACAGTTTGATTGAAATCGAGTGAAGAAGACGGATTATTTAATGATGATGTTCCTTTGCTGTACTGTAACATTTTTTCTTTCGCCAGGAGCGTTTTCTTTTGGCGTTTATCTTTTTTATATTTGTACGATACGTTATCGTCGAATCCGAACGATGTATCTGTTGTTTTGTTTGTGTAAATAGGAGACTTGCTGTTTTTAAGCGTACGCGGTTTTCTAGATCGTAACGTTTTGTTGTTTGAATTAATAGTTGATTTATCTGAAAGCTTGGTATCGTTTTCCGTATTTAAATTAGAACTTTTTTTATGGCTTTTTGAACTAGACATCACTTTCCAGTCTTGTGCATTTTCAATAGTATCTAATAGCATTTCATTCATGCGTTCGGTTACCAATGAAACATCATTCTTGCAATCTGAAACAATTGTGTATAAATATTCTTTCGTAATTCCGTACTCGTACAGGACCGAGTACGCATTTTCGACAATTTCATTTATATTAATTTCTTGTCTTGTGGGTTTCTTTTTCGACATATGTGTAAAAAAGCTGTATTATAATGTTAGAAGTCAGAATAATGGTAACTAAATAAATAGTATAAAGAATTATATGTTATTTGAACAGTTACATTAAATAACAAAAATTTAGAACAATTTGAATTGCTGATTTGAAAATTATGTAAAAGCAATTTATGAAAACTTTAATAATCTTAAAACAAGATTACAAATTATTTATTTGCAGTTTTCCGCAGCTTCTTTTAAATGTTTTATTCGATCTATTTTACTTTTTTTATATGAGTCGGTTTCAAAAATTTTGACACCATCGTCTTTAGTGATTTTTGACGTTTGAATCGACTCACTGATATGTTCTTGAATTTTCTTTCGCAACAGATTTTTTTTTTTTAAAGTGTCTATATACTTAGACGTCCTGATCGGTTTTTGAGTTACGTTCGGTCTGCTGATTTTCAGCGGCTCTCTGCTAATAATTTTATTTATAAATTGAATTTTGTCTTGAAGTTCGCTTTCAGCTTGAGAGCTAACTGAAACTTGTTTAATGCTGCATAACGGTGTAATTGTCTGATTGTTATCGTCAGATTCAGATTTTGAGTTAAATTTAAACTGGTTTTCAAAATTTGAGCCTGAGTTTACATTTGGGGCAGATAGGGGTTCTGTTTTTTTGTCAAGATTCAACCGAGATATCGTTGATTTTTTTTGCTTTACTTTTAAATTAAATAAGGGTTGCATTTAGTTTTAATTGTCTTAATATTTTTATGCTTCATTTTTACAATTGAGGAGCTATAAAATATTTTTCATCTATAAGTGCCTTAGTTAGTAGACCTTGCAGTCGGTTTTTTACAATAAAGCGAAAAACTTTTTTCTTTAATGATATTCTATGACCATGCAATCATCGACACTTCAGGCAAAATTACTGCAAATAATTTTCGCAAAGTTTTTAGTGAAGTGTTAGGTGAAGATACATGCTCCTTTCCCGATATAGATGTGTGGAACAATTCTAACAGCAACGTTTATTCTCCTTATTCTTTTTTTTCTTTGGAAGCGAGGAAATATGAACAGCAGAAAAAGTCAGAAGTGATTATCCCAGCGCTTATTCCCAAGCTGCCCGTAACTCACCTGAATTATAAGCTTGAGTTGGTGTTAGACCTGGATAACACCCTGATTCATACGATCAATCAGTCAAGGATCTATAACTTGAACATTGAATTTCCTTCATTTTCGAGTTTATTTAAGTACGACGAATATTTCAAATTTAAGATTGCTAGATTACCAGACAGTTTATACTACATCAAATTACGGCCTGGGGTTCACCAGTTCTTACGAGTAGCAAATAAGTATTTCAGGCTGTCTGTGTCTACTAACGCTACACCAGAATACTCTGATATTGTGCTAAGTCTCTTAGACTCAGATCGAACAATATTCAAAAATCGGTAAGTTAAAGTAACACTTAAATGTCATATTTCATTTTTTTAGAGTGGCAGCCAGAAACCCAGATAATGCCTTAGATGATAAAAAAGATATAAAAAAGTTGTTCAAAAATATTGATGTTCAAGATAAATTGCTAATAGTGGATGATCGCACAGATGTTTGGTCGTCCTCATTGTATCCAAACATAATCAAATCTAATTATTATGATTATCTAGATGTATTGCGTGAATCAATTGCGCTCAACCAAAAAGCCAAATTTCCTACTGCGGCTGCCAACAGCTTCTTTCCCAACACTTCCAATAACGCCAGCAAAAACAATGATTTAAGCTATCATAACATAACTAACGTCTTAGATTATGATCGACAACTCTATTTTCTTGCGAATTTGTTAGAAGAAGCACACGCTCGTTATCAAAAATATTCATCCGCCAATATCGCTTGTTCACTTCCCAAAATCCTAAAAAACATCTACCAAACTATTTTGTCTGACTGCGTAGTCTTTCTGTCGGGGTATCACCGCTCAGACCAAGTCAGTCAGTACGGAATGCTTGACAATGTATGGATTAACACGCAAAAATTAATTGGAATGGGTGCCAAAGTTGTTGACACGCTTAGCGATGAAGTAACCCACGTAATTGTCGTCCGACCCTCTATGTCAACAGAACGGGCGAGATCCATTTGCAGCGAAAACACAAAGTTTGTTCATAACTTATGGATTTACGCATGCGAACAAGCCTGGGTCAAAATCGAAGAAGAGCTGTTTGACCCGTTGCAAGTTTTTAAAATTTTTTCAAAGCCGTCAGTAAAACCACATCACGACCATTGGTGTATAACATATAAAAGCAATCTTATCAAGAAAAAAGTTATGGATGACTTATCGGCAAAAAAAAATATCAATAATGCGGAAAATGCACTCATGTGCAAACTTAAACACAAATCTTGGCCAGCAACTGTTCCATCAAGTGAAGGAAATGTTGTTTGGTCAATGCATGAAAATATCATTATGTATTATGACCCTTTCTTAACATCAGAACTAACGTTCCAATCTTTTTTTCCACAGTAATGCTAATTGTGACTATAAATTTATTTTTTAATCTATTTAATATTTTGATATTTCCTCAAGTGCTGTTTGATCAATTTAACTCACACTACTCACCAAAAAAATTTTTTAATCGGCTAGTACATTATAACGGAAATATGAATCAAAATACTATTGCGTTGATTGGAGACTCTGAAACTGTAGCAGGCTTTTTACTCACAGGGATAGGCGAAAAAAAAAATAATGAAAAAAACTTTTTTATATGTGATAAAGGTATGTTGCTACTACCAAGCTATTTTAGACACCAAACCCGTTGAAATTGAAGAGTGTTTTAATGCTTTCGTGAAGCGAAAAGAAATTTCAATTATTATCATCAGCAAAAGCGTACGTGTTAACCCAAATATATTTTTTCAGGCAGCTGATCAGATAAGAGAAGCAATTAAAAAGCATGGAAATAAGGAACCAGAGATTGTAGAAATTCCGTCACGCTGAAAAATAATAAAAAACAATAATTTCCAAAGTCAAAATTATTGTTTTAAATTACTCGAATAACTTGTTAAAGCGGACTGCAACACACGTTATAGTTCGAAATATTTAAAAATAAATAAGAGTTAATTGAAATATAAGCTTATAATTTGCTATAGACGAATATAACATTTCATCCGTTTCTGTCTATATTCAAAAATAATTGCGAATTAATATTCTACCTTACTAGAAAAAATGTCTCATAGAAAGTTTGAATCACCCAGACACGGTTCCCTAGGTTTCTTACCCAAAAAAAGATGCCGACGAGGTCACGGACGTATAAAGGCTTTTCCAGCTGACAACGCATGTAAGCCTTGCCACCTCACTGCTTTCATGGGATACAAAGCTGGCATGACCCACGTTGTTCGTGAAATCAACAGACCAGGTTCAAACCTCCACAAAAAAGACGTCGTTGAAGCTGTTACTATCATTGAAACTCCTGACATGTACGTTGTTGGTTTAGTTGGCTACATCGAAACCCCACGCGGGCTTAAGCCTATTAAGACTCTTTGGGCTGACCACCTTTCTGATGAATTCCGAAGAAGATTCTACAAGAAGTGGTACACTTCCAAGAAAAAGGCTTTTACCAACTATGAAAAACGAGCTATTTCTAAAGAAGAAACTATCAAGCTCATCAAAGACAAATGTTCTGTCGTCCGAGTCATTGCGCACACTCAGCCAAGTCTCACTCCAGTTGGTGTAAAGAAAGCCCACATCAATGAAATCCAAGTTAACGGTGGCTCAATTTCCGACAAAGTAGACTTTGCTCTTGGTCTTTTCGAAAAACCCGTTTCAGTTAACTCTGTCTTTGAAACTAACGAAAATATTGACACCATTTCCATTAACAAGGGTAAAGGTACTCAAGGTGTCATCAAGCGATGGGGTGTCACAAGACTTCCTAGAAAAACGCACCGTGGTTTACGTAAGGTAGCTTGTATCGGTGCATGGCATCCAGCTCGTGTCCAGTTCCAAGTAGCTAGACGCGGTCAAATGGGTTACCATCACAGAACAGAAATGAACAAGAAGATATACAGAATTGGTAATGGTGAGGACGCTAGTAACGCCACCACTAGCTGTGATATCACTGAAAAGTCTATCACTCCAATGGGTGGTTTCCCTCACTACGGTATCGTCAAGAACAATTTCTTGATGATTAAAGGAACTGTAGCTGGACCTCGTAAGAGAGTAATTACTTTACGCAAGCCCATCATCGTTAACACCAACCGTAAAGCTTTAGAAGAAGTTGAACTTAAATTCATCGACACTGCTTCTAAGATTGGTCACGGTAGATTCCAAACTTCTGAAGAAAAACGTATTTTCTACGGTCCTAGTTTTAAGAGACAAAAAGTTAATGCATAAATTATAACTCTGTTAATTTAATCTTTTTATTACTTCTTTTCTATATACATTATTATCGATTTGCTATCTGTATTATTGATAAATATGTTACATATTTAACTTCCTCCCAGCAAATTTAACGAAAACCATTCGCATCCAAATTGTACATGCATAATCAATAAAATATGAAACAAAAAAACTAACTAACTCCTATGCTTGTTCTGGCGCCGCCAAGTTTTTTTTTATCGGTCTCATCGCAGGAAAAGCAATAACTTCTTTGATGTTGTAATGGTTTGATAAAAACATTATTAGCCGATCGATACCCAAACCCCAACCACCAGTTGGCGGAAGTCCGTACTCAAGTGCTACACAATAATCTTTGTCCATAAAACAAGCTTCGTCGTCACCTTTCGCTTTGTCTTGTGCTTGTTTTAAAAAGCACTCGTACTGCGTTTTAGGATCGTTAAGTTCTGTGTAAAAGTTGGCAAGCTCGCGTCCAAGTACAAAGAGTTCCCCACGTTCAGCAAACTCAGAATTAGATCTGTGCCATTTTGCTAAAGGGGACATAAGTTGTGGGTGATCAATTATAAATGTTGGGTTGCGGCATTGTGACTCGACGAAGTGAGCGCAGAGTTTATCCAACAACTTGCAACTTGTTGCAGGAGATGGAAGGTCAATGTCATATTTATTGCAAACATTAATCATAAAGTTCACGGCTTCGTCACTCTCGAGCGGCCGAGGAATGGCTGCGTTTATTTGTTTTTCTATTTCACCCACAAATGAAAGAGTCTTCCAAGGAGGAGTAAAGTCTATTTCTACAGCTGGCTTTTCAAGACCTTCGGGGTTGTATGTGATCACATAACTTCCAGTGACCTCTTTAACGAGCGTACTAACCATATCTTCGGTCATTTTCAACATGTCATGGACATCTGCAAAAGCCATGTAAAATTCGACTGCAGTAAACTCAGGATTGTGCGTCAAGTCAATCGCTTCGTTTCGGAAGTTTTTTCCAATTTCGAACACGCGGCTCAAACCACCAATGACAAGTTGTTTCAAGTAAAGTTCTGGCGCAATTCGCATGTATAACTGCAAATTCAAATAATTGTGATATGTTACAAATGGTTTTGCATTTGCTCCACCTGGGATTTGGTTCATCAACGGGGTTTCGACTTCTAAAAACTCGCGCTCTGTGAGATATTTGCGAATGTGTTGGAGAACTTTAGATCTAATGACAAATGAGTCTCTCACGCTTGTGTTGATTATTAAATCTAAATAACGCTTTCTAAATCGTACTTCAGGATCTTTTAAACCGTATTGTGGCTTAGGCAACATGTGCAAACAATGAGACAATATTGCAACGTCCTTCAAATAAATGCTCAATTCACCACGTTTCGTCCTCGCTGGAATACCGGTAATACCAATAATATCTCCTCTATGGATTTTGTTTTTCACATCGATAAATGCTTCAACGCCGTGATTGAACTCGCGAGCGTCCGCAAAGACTTGTAACTTCTTGCCATCCATCACGAGATCGAAAAATGCTAGTTTATTGGATGAACCAGCAATTCGCATGACTCTACCTGCAACTGTTTCAGTAACATCATTGAGACGCTCTTCAACAGATAAGTAGTCATATTTCTGAATGAATTGCGAAATTAAAATTGAACACGCAAATTTATGGGGGTAAGCAACTGATCTGTCTAGCGACTCAGAATATTTGCATCGTTCTTTGTAATAATTGAAAGTTTCTGCTTCGTTTGCCTCAGGCTCTACTGTATCTACTTTTTTTGTTTTTGACATAATTAAGTGTTTAGTTAGTGCCTATTCTATCCCAAAAATTTTGCGTTTTTTGATATTTCTTCTTCTTTATTTAGTTAATTATTGCTTTTAATTTTATTAAAATAAAAATTCCGCCAGTTATGTTAGAAGAAAATATCTTTTTTTAAATACAGCTAAATAACATCAGAGGTCTAATTCAGACGCTTTCAAATTGGAAAGATGATCATCTAACAATGGAACGAATTGATCGGGCAATTCGTCAATATTTTCATAGTTTTGGCTATCGAGATTTTAGGACACAGTGTTAACTTACCACTTGTTCAATGTAAAAGACAGCACTATATAACTGAAATACCAAGCAAGCAAATTGCAAATCAGAATATTGATTGCAAAAATCAATTTTATATCTAAAGATTAATGAATTTGTAAACATACGTGACTTTAACGATTGTTTGATGGAAACCATAACAATTCCTGGTGACCTGTTTTCATTAGTGCTTCTGTTATTAAAATTACATTTTTATATAACGTACGTAGAGACGGGTGTCTGATGTTCCATTTTCTGGGCTGATAGCAAATTTGTTATTGTTTGAGAAAGACTACTGGGAGACGATTTGTTCTGATCAGTATTTACTTGTGCCGTATGGAGTTCATTGTGAGTATCATTTTTAACAATTTGACTATTATTCGCAATTCCATGCGTTTGTAAAGGGTTTATGCCATGGTTTACTATGTGTAAACTTTCTGTCTTTAGCGGATGAGACTGACTATGCACCATTACAGATCTAGCGCCAGCCGATAGCAATGGATGAGCTGCTGGGTTAGTTATTAACGATGATTTTCCTGTGTTTTGCAATATTGTTTGACCGTTTGCTTGGGATTCGATGGGCTTCATATTTACGAGAGTAATTTTATGCTTTGGTTTAGGTAAGATCGTTGCTATTTTGAAATAATCAATATAAAATAGCATCTCTACAATGTTGGATATCACCATTAAAATTAAAAATACAATCATAGCTTTTTGGCTTTCTTTATATGTTGCTCCTAAGCCAACCAGCATCATAAGACCAGTAAACACCAAAATGTAAATTCCAATTATTAAGAGATCAGGCCGTATAATCTTGAGCGTGACGAACAAAAAAATTCCTAATAGCGTCTTATATAACGAAGCAGCATAACAACCCTATAAAATCACTAAGATCGAAAAACATACACTTTTTAATGAATACGATCCGAACAGCTGTTTAGCTTTAAAGTTCATTGTTGTACAAATTATTTAGACTGATTGTCTGATCTAATAAGTAAACGCGCAGAATAACAAATCTGGATCTGCAAAACGTATAATTAAAATTAAATTATAAAAAACAGCATTTACTCATAAAACAATTTTATCAGATAATAGTTTCAGATTCTCCGTTAATCATGTTTCCTGAATAGAACGTTTGCACAGTTCTATCCTTGATTTGATTACAAAGCGTTTTGAGAATATTTCTAGTTTCGGTAGGGTTAATTACCCAGATACACGTAGCTACCAAGGTTGCATATGCGTCATTTCCGTTTCGATTGAATTGATCACCTATGTGCATAGTTTGTGATGGCGATAGCTTGAGCAAATTTTGCAAAAAAGAAATACCAATGGCTTTATTCCCAATATCTATCCACACGTCAAAATTGCTATTAAACACGCAGCATGGAATCTGCTCGAACCTAACGCATTTGGAGAGCAAACTGATTCGTTCTGACAGTTCGTTTAATATTTCACACGTCAATCGGGTTATTTTTAAAGTATTCTTGTCGTCAGGTACGATTCCTACAGAACGTTTTTTTTTGATGATTTTGGCCTTGAGCCCAAATTCTTCAATCGCTAGTTGAAGTTCTTCGGCCGCTGTGTTAAGCAAATCTTTCCAATCGTCGGCATTTCCGTTGTAGGATTTTTCACAATATGCCATACTTATATCAATGGATTGTACATGCTTCAATTTTCCAGACTCATCCAAACGGAAAAATTCAGCAGCTTGTCCGGCGATAAACATGAAATTACTTCTTAAAGACGTATTGAAAGATGTTTTTTCATTGATTACATTTATCAAGTTTGATATCCTAGTTTCGTAAAAAGCTTCGTTGCTACCATAATTAACTGCTGACACAATAGCGACAAAAATGTCGCGATTAATAAGAGCTGCAATTCGTTCAGCTATTTTTTCTTCTGTAAAATTATGCCCAGCGTGGTATAACGTGTCGTCACCGTCGAATGTAATCAGCTTCACACTGTTAGCCGCAGCAAGCGCATATGACCTATTGACGAGTTGTCTTGCTTCGTGAAATGTAGCATAGGAATACTTACGCAGACACCATTTTTTCTCTTTGTTTAGTTCGATAAATGCTTCTCTCAATTTTGGTTTGACAAACACATTTATACTTGAATAAAAACCGGTCTTGACCAGATTACTGTGATTTTCTATATTTACTTCAAATGATCGAAACATTTCAGCGACGAGTTTCTCGTCCCCTCCGATCATCATAGCTGTATTTAAAACGGTTCTAACGTGTTCAATAAATCTAAAATAATTAATTTTTATAACTTACTCATTGTTAAACTCACGGTATTGACTGGATACTAGTATTTTTTTGGAGTCTAACTTATCAAAAATTGATGTTGGTTCAGCATAAATTTCGATCGACGGCTTTGACTGACAAACTTTGTTGATAAAAGACAACTGTGATTTTGTTGCGTTTAGAAATGTTAGATTTTGTATGTTATTTTCCATATAATGTAGTAAAATAATTTTGATCTGTTTTTTAATCTGAAAAAAAATTAATAACTAAAAGTCGTAAGCTTAGTTATTCTAGCTTTTAAAATGAAGCACTAGCTTATTTCTTCATACTAGCGTTTTTTTTGTACATTTGTAAATTTACAAACACGTTTTCACAACATTAAATATATGAATGGTAATCTGGTTATCTTGAACTTTCTTATCTTACTTGTTTCAACTGCTAATAGTTATAACTTTAGATTTGAAGAAGCGAGCAAAGTGTTTCCAGCTTTTCCTGTGGTTGAATGTCACGCTCACTATGCTCAGAACGAGCATGACAGTGTGATATCTGTTGATCTCAACCCCAAGACGTCTGCTATTTATACAATTCACGATACTATCTTTAAAAAAAAAGAAAATCAGCAAGTTTTTATTTACGAACTATTAACTCATAAACGATTACCGTACAATTTCAACATATTTTGCGACAAAACTGGTGTTTTCGATTTGTTTGCTTTAATAGTACTTAGCGACAGCGCTTACAAATTATTGGATTTCCACGGTAACATTTGCAAACTTACATTTTATTGTAAAAATGAGAACGATATTTATGACGATAATTCAGATTTTAGCAACTATTTAGATACCGAGAAATTAATTAAAACGTCTTTTCCTAACATGAAGATGGCCAATAAAGTAGAACGCTTTATAAAGAAATTGCCCCACGCAAATAAAATGTTTGATTTTCCAAGTGACCTTGTCCGTTCTCTATTTACAGAAGCCCCATTTGCTACAAACAAAAAAAGTATTTTTAACTGGAGAAATGAAGATGACGTTAATTATGCGCCGATAAATGATATCTCAAGTTTTGAAAATTTGAATGCAATCGATCTTGATCTGTAAGATACACATTGAAAAGCTTAGCACGCGTTTGAAAACTTTTTTTTCAGTATCAAAAATGAATATTCGTCTCGCAATATTATTGGTCTGCGTAAATGTAATACATGCTTTCCAAAAACCTAAAGAAGTAGAAAATACTTTAATAGGGATGATTGAGCATATTTGTTCGAATGACAGTGAATGCCCTGAGGGATACCAGTGTATATCGATTCCAAAACTGCTGACTAATTTTGAATTATTCCCTACTCTTGCAAACAAGGTATGTGTAAAACTGTCGCTGCCTAAAGGTGTGACAAAAACAAATCCAAACTACACGGTCACTATTGAGACGGCACACGTGATTAAAAATAAATCAGGCGATATTTCCGTTTCTCACACGAGACAAACGCCTGACAAATACGAAATAAAATGTAATCGGACTAATATCGATTTGGAAATAGGACAAAAATTTTTGTTTGAGTCTCGAATCAATCCAAGCAACCTTGTTAATGTGTACAAAAATTCCCATTTAATTTCTCTGACCTCAGATAATTACATCTTAATAGATAGTTCAGAACCTTTAGTGGAAGAAATGCACGAAAGTTTTCTTGAATGTAAAGAAGCAAAAAATGTTCACTTAACGGTTCATGCGTTTTTAGTTACAGAATACGGAAGTTTATTAGCGTCAACGCGAAACCCATGTAGAATTAATTATCAGTGTAAAGAGAGAAAGCAGAACGAAGCTTCATCAAACCCAAGTGTTTATCAAAACAGAAATAACCAACATTTTACAGGTAACGAACTGCAAAAGTATGGTTATAATAATTCTTTTTTAACAAGCCTTACAACAAATTCTGACCGACTGGTAGATGATGGAATCGATGATGCTAATATGAAACCCAAACCAAAAATTACTTGTTTGCCTCTAACTATCACTAACCGAGTTGGTAAACGCCACGTCTTGAAGTTTGACACTGATCTTTATGAGTGTGAAAACTGCACGTCTTCACAAGTCTTCATGGCATCAAAGCCCACTCCCATGAAACAAATATCGATCGCGTGTGATGCTGAAGGTGTTGAAACTGAAACCGTGGTTGTTTTAGCGAAGAACGAAGATCAGACGGCTGTGGAAACTTGTGAAGTAACGATTGGTTGTGTCGCAAATTCTCCCCCTAGAATTTACTGTAACAACGAAATACTGGTCTTACATCGGCAGTATTCGACAGATACAGATCTAATTTCTGTTCCAATCAACATTCCGTCCAACGTATTATTTAAAGTAATAGACGACGATCACGATGACCTAAATATAGTAGTACAAACAAGAGACTCAACTGAACCTATTTTTAAGTTAGAACACCAATGTAACAAAAATACTATATACAGGCG